CCTTTTACCTAGAAGAGAATACAATAACTTCCTACATCTATCCTTGTTCAAATTCCACAGTGAAGTCAAAATAATTTTAACTTCTCTCTCTTCCCTGCCTAAAAAACACCCTGCATGGTATATCATTGCTCTTAGGCTGAACACCAAAGTAACATACTAGTGTTTGGCCCTCGCCCCACTTCTCCTACCATACTTCAGCCACTTTCCCCTCATCAACCAAACTCTAGCCACCTTGGCCTCCTTTCAGTTCTTGCATACTCCATGTTCCTTTCTACAGTAGGACCTTCAAAGATACTGTTCCTTCTCTCTGAAGCATTCTCTCCAACCCCACCACTCTTTCCCTAGTTAACCCCTACTCATCCTTCAGATCTCAGCTAAAACATTACCTCCTCTAGACCTTCCCTGACCTCAAAAACACTCTCTCAGAACTGCAATTTTCCTTCACTGAACTTACAAATATATAAATAAAACTGTGATTTGAATGGCCATTCTTTAACGGTTCTCCCTCTCACTATACTGTGTGTATATGGTAAAGAGACCGTGACCATGTATATTTAGCACAACACTGTGGTACAACATTGTAGCACATAGATAACAGCACTCACAAGTATTTGTTGAATAATAAATAAAAACAGAATCTAGTCTACTCCCAAGAGTTTCATTACAGGAGACTTCAGAATTTGTATCTCTGGCCCTGCTTTGCTTCTGAAATATATACTGCCAATTCAACTACAACATATTTTTCTACAATACCAATTAGCTTATAGACAATTGATAAGTAGGTGAATGGTATCAATTCAACATGTTAGTTAATTTGAACACGGAGCTGAAATTCTACATCATAACCTTCATGAGAAAGAAAAAGAATTCCTCAGTTTGGCTGCTGCACAGTAGGAGTCCTTATAGATCTAACACAACTAAAAATAAGTTCCCACCTATTTGGGTTCCCACTATATTGACGGTTCCCACTCAATAAAGCATCCCGTCAGCCTCAGACAGCTCTCTGCTGATGTATTTCCCTCTGTGTCTATAACAGCAGCCTCACTGACTCAGAGCTCCACTTTTAACTGCCTTGTCTCAATGTCCACCACAAGGCAGTATCCCAACTCTATTTTGTATATCTTTAATATCCCCTGCAGCAGCATCCAGCCATACGAAGCCGCCTACTGGTCTGACCAAGTTATTTCCCAAGGCATCAGTTACTACTCTTGATAGTGTTCTGGTTACAAAATTGTTTAAATTTTGAGTAGCCTACTCCAGCTCTATTTTCCCATAGCCCTATATTCTTAGTGAGCAATATTCAGAATACAAGCTTTCTCAAGTGCACAAAAATTACAGATCTTACCATGGTTCCAAATAGTTCTTGACTAGTTCCTCAATTAATTTATATACCCCAAATCTATATTCCTTATCTCTGTTAGTAGTCCAAAATCAAATCATTGGAGCCACAAATGCCTCTCTCTCTCTCTTCCCTATATTCAATGATTCCACACATTCTACCAATTTTCCTTATGCATGGTCTCTCACATCTTTCTCACTACCATATGCCATAACTGAAAGCTTCAGCACGTCTCATCTGAGTGAATTTAACAGCCTTCAAGGTAATAATAATCCATCTTCCAGGCCCTCCTTATTCCAAGCTCAACTTCACTATATCACAAGAACCATCTTCTCCAAAATGCCAATCTGATTGTGCTATTCCTCTACTCAAAAACCTTCAGTGGCATTCTACTGCGCATTCAAGGCCTGAAACCACTACCCCATTTTTATTTCACACTGAAGCTCCCATTCACTTCACACTGTAGCAGAGGTAAACAGAGGTAAACAATACAAATCATTGAACACACTGCTGGCAAAGAAAGATACTTATTAGTATTAGCTACTACTGTCACAGATTACCTGGTGTTACAGTCAATTCTAAGAATGTCATCTCCCTACCCTTGATTTTAAGCATCTTAAGTTCCTCCTCTTTGTATTATCAGAGACAAGGGTCAAATCTCAGTTGTGTCACTTACTAGCTGTGACCTTGAGCAAGTTATTTAGCTTTCTGAGCCTCAGTAAAATTAGGGTAATATCCATGTCATGGGGTTGTTGAAAAGACTAAATGACATAACATATGTAGAATGCCTAGAAGAGAAAAGACATCAATAAATGTTAGTTTTCTTTAAAAGTGTTCGCTTAAAGAATGAACACAGAACTAATCGCTTGCCTTCTTTCCCCTACAACTAGGCAAGTAGAGAGTAGCACTCAAAGAAATTGGCTTAACAACAAAATATATCTTTATGTTTCTGAAATAAATGCTTACTCCAAAAACGTAAGATTTAAGAGAATCTTTTCCTATGTTATTAAGCAAAGTTATTGATATGGAACCATACTTTACTAGATGATACATACTGATATAAATTATGTTATTAAATTTACTGAGACTCAACATATATTTAGTCTATATGCAGAACTAGCAGTTATTTAGTTAGTTCTAATAGTTAACTATTAAACATATAAATACATGCAAAAATATAGAAAGCTTCAATACTTATAAATTCCATAAAAAATGAGCCTGCATACATACATTAAAAACCCACATATAGTAAAAGATTCTTAATGTTCACTCAAAGAATTGGTCGGATTTGATTTACACCACAGGCTTTCACATTATAGTATTACAAGAGTTTCTTTAAAACGAGAAAGCAAAGAAAGGAGAAAGAATGGGGGGCTGGGAGGGAGGAGGGGGAACAGTACCAAAACTTCTCAAGTTAGTCTTTTCCCATTTTACTTTGCCTCTTCCTCCCTCCTGCCGTTTTCACCTAACTGCTTTCCTACTTCATAATAACAAAAAAAATGACAGAATCTTTTTAATAAATAGTGCTGGGACAACTGGACTAACAGCAAAAGAATGAAGTTGGACCTCTACTTCATATCATATAAAAATTAACTCAAAATGGACCAAAGACCTATATCTAAGAGCTAAAACTATAAAATTCTCAGAGTAACACACAGACATTAATCTTTGTGACACTGGATAGGCAATGGTTTCTCATATATGACACCAAAAGCTCCAGCAACCAAAGAAAAACAGATAAATTGGACTTCATTAAAATGAAAAGCTTTTGTGTCTCAAAGAAACACACCATCAAGAAAGGAAAAAGACAAACCACAGAATGGGAGAATATATTTGCAAATCATAAATCTGATAAAGGTCTAATATTGAGAATTATAAAGAACTCTTACAACTCAACAATAAAAAATAAATAACCCAATTAAAAATGGGCAAAAGATCTGAACAGTTTTCCAAAGAAGATACACAAATGGCCAACCTGCAAATGAAAAGATGACCAACATCATTAATCATTAGCAAAATGGAACTCAAAATCACAATGAGATACCATTTCATACCCACCAGGATGGCTATAATCAAAAAAACAGACAATAATGAGTGCTGGCAAGGATGGAGAGAGATTGGAACACTCATACACTGTTGGTGAGAATGTAAAATGGTGTAGCCACTTTAGAAAACACTTCGACAGTTCCTCAAAAAGTTACAGAGTTACCACATAACCCAGCAATTTCACTTCTAGATATATACCCAAGAGAAATGAAAATATGTCCACACAAAAACTTGTACACAGATTTTCAGAGTAGCATTATTCAGTATAGTCAAAGAGCAGAAACAGCCCCAAAGTTGATCAACTGATGAATACATTAACAAAATAGGATATATCAATACAATGGAATATTATTTAACTGTAAAAGGAGACAAAGAAGTGACACATGCCACATGCATGGATGAACCTTGAAAATATGCTAAGTGAAAAAAAGCAAGAAAACACAATGTATGATTCCATTTATATGAAATGTCCAAAATAAGCAAATCCATAGAGATAAAAAATCAACTGGTGGTTGCCAAGGGCAGGGGGGCAGCATGGGAAGGTTAGGGATGGGGAAGGGACTGCTACTGGGTACAAGATTTCTCCTGGGGATGATGAAAACATACTAGAATTAGATAGTGGTGATGGCTGCAGAACTTTGCAAATATACTAAAAACCACTGAATCATACACTTAAAAAGAATGAAATTTATGATAGTTCTATCTCAAAGAAAAAAAAGAATGATAAAGGAATAAAAAGCAGCACAACTAAAGAATGAAGCAAGCGTTCTTTTTTTGACCCAACATTTTCTGCACACTCACTATATTCCAGATCTATGCTGGTTGCCAGGAACCCAAAGATGAGTAAAACAAAGTCACTACACTCTTCAGGATCATTCCCCTCAGCCTACAAATGTCGTATTTCTTAAAAATGGAGCAGCTTTGAAAATGCAAAAACAGCAAATATAAGCCATAGACAAGCCAAGAGAATGCAGATATTTACATTATAAACTCTTCTAAATTACCTAGAATTTTTTTGGTTGGGGGGGATGGATATGCTTCTAATGTTAGTGGTTAAATAACTCATTGTTCCCCAATGATGACAATGTCATTTTTCAAAAATTATTTAACAGCTTCATTTCATTTATTTGAAATGCTTTTCACAAATAATATTGCTAGATAAATCTTTCTCTTCATTGTTATCACTCTGAATGTATTAGTTTCTCAGTGACTCCTGGATTTTCTATTTTTGATATTCAAAAACCTCATGACAAACACAAATATCCCAAGAGAAAATGCTTTTTGACACTTTATTACAATAACCACATAAATATGTGTTTCTCTGTAATAAAAGTAACAACAGAGTTCTCTAAACTAAGAAATCAAATGTTCTGAGCCCTAATCCAGATTTTTATGAATCAGAGAAAATCTGATTTCCTGATATGAAAGCTGCACTTAAATAAAAGAACAGCTAACAAAAAATTTAAAAAATCAAATTTAGACAGAAAACTGTTAAGTAGTTTAAACAGCAAAAAAGGCATATTCTACTTAATCCAAAACATTAGGTATTTCTGATATTTTTAATACATTATATTAACTTCCCAAAAGGTAAAACTAAAATCTACATTATTATTACCTTATCTTTGGCCTCAGGCAGTGTGATTTCTCTAGGTTCTAAAAATGGTATTTCTCGAAAAGGTGGAACACATCTGACTATATCTGGTACATAGTGTGTATGAAACAATGGCGGCATTGAGTATCTTCTTTCACCTGATAAAGGCACTATGTGGTTAACTATAGTTGGCTCTTGGTGGGGTGAATGGAAACGCTGCCGTTTACCGTCAAGAGGAAGGTTTTTTTCATCGCTTAATCTCCTGAAAACAAGCAATATACCTTAGTGATTAAAGATATAACTTTCTAATAACAAACAGAAAACAATTAAAAATATATAAATAATACCAATAATGACAGCAAGGCCACATTATTAGCTCTATATGAATCTTAAAATATTCATCGTGAGCACAAAAGATGCCTTAGAAAAACACCTTAGGAAAAACAAATAGTAATAATGCATATTAAAAAAAAACTACATATGTACATCAGGGTTAGTCACCTACATTTGAACTACCCCCAATGTTTTATCTCACCAGTGAAAACTTTGTAGGAAAACTTCTATTCATAGAAACACTAACAATAAAAACCCAAATTCTAACATAGGGAGAATAAGATTAAGTGAACTGAGAGTTATATATTTTAAAAGGCTCTTAAAGGGGCACCTGGCTGTCAGTAGAGCATGTGACTCCTGATCTCTACGTTGTGAGTTCGAGCCCCACATTGGGTGTAGAGATTAAAAATAAAATCTTAAAAAATAATAATAAGTAAATTTATTTATATATATATATAAAAAAAGGCTCTTTAAGTCCACCTATGTTCTGGCTCATCAGTTGGAAAGATCATATTAAAAAGCTATAAAGACAATGAACAACCAAAGAAATATGAAAACTAACTGCATTTCAGGTAACAGTAATGTATTAATGTTAAATTTCTTGGGCATGACAAATGCATTTTGGTTATATAGGAGAAGATCCTTGGTTCTTAGGAGGAACACACTAATGTGCTTTGGGGTAGAATGAAGTGATGTCTACAACTTTTTCATAGAAAAAGTTTGGAAAAAAAGTAGGGGTAAAGAGAAAAAGAGGCCAAAAAAAACAATAAATATAGCACAACTTTAATGAATCTAGGTAAACAGCATACAGGGTTTTATTGTACTATTCTTTAAATTTTTCTGGAGGCAGAAAATTTTCAAAATAATAAAGCAAAAGGAAATAATTAAAAAATAATTATTTGTTTAAAAAAATACTTCATTGATACATTAAGTTGTTCATACAGATAATAATTTAGGCCATGGGAAATGGTCTGATTGCTTTTAAGCTCTAAAATTCTATGGGTCATAGCCACCTGAAGGTTTTCATTACAACACTCCTTTAGGATCACCCCAATTCCTCACTCCTTGATCCACAAAATAAGTGGGTATACAATGCTAACAAGAGTATATTTAATATCTTTTAATATAAAAATGATTTAGCTTTATATGCTAAATAGGTTCTATTGAGAATGCCAATTTTAGTTTTTAAAATATGTGTAACTATGAGCCAATGGAATTTGTTTTCGTTTGTGATTCACAAGTTAGCTATCCAGACAACTTCAAAAAAATTAAAATCTGAATAAAGTCAATACTTTTAGCATCATTATATAGCTTTCCACAACAACTCTGAGGAACTCACAGTGCTTCTAAGTAGAGGATCTAGAGCCAGACCGCCTGGGTTCAAATCCCAATTGCGCTTCCACCCGAATAACTAGTTACTTAACCTCTGTGTGCCTCATCTTTCTCAACAGAAGAGGAATAACATACCTCATAGAGTGCTGTGAAACTTAATCAAATTATTTGTAAAGTCCTAAGAACAATGCCAATTACATGAGTCATCAATAAATCAAAAAAAAAAAAAAAGGGGGGGCGGACGCCCGGGTGGCTCAGTCGGTTAAGAGTCTGCCTTCGGCTCAGTTCACGATCCCAGGGTCCTGGGACTGAGCCCCATATCACGCTTCCTGCTCAGCGGGGAGACTGCTTCTCCCTCTGCCTACCACTCCCCCTGCTTGCATGCTCTCTCTCACTCACTGACAAACAAACAAATAAATAAATAATTCTTAGCTAGTGTTATTTTTAATTGGATGTAAAGTTATGGAATATTTACATAGGCTTTAAACAGTAATATCTTACAAGTACTGCCAAATTTTATTTTAATAATCATCTCTAAAGTTCTATTATAATTACTTTGTAATACACCCATTACTTTTAACTGGTTAAAATTAATTGACTCTCATTTCTCTGTAGAAAGCTTTAAGTCATGCAGAAATTTTTACGAATACTTATTAAGGAACCTTACCTGTATAAGATTTAGATAAATCAAATAGTAAACTTTACTAGAAAAAAGGTATTTATGGGCTGAACTGTGTACTCTCAAAGTTCTTATAGTTAAGCCCTAATTCCCAGTACCTCAAAATGTGGTTTTGGACATTTGGCCTTTAAAAAATTATAATGGTGTCATTAAAATGAGCCCTAATCCAATATGACTAGTGTCCTTAGAAGAAGAGGAGATTAGGACACAGAAAACACAGACAGAGGAATGACCATGTAGGACACAGAGAAGGCAGCCATCTACAAGCCAAGCAGGGAGGCCTCAGAAGACACCAAACCTGCCAACACCTTGATCTTTTGGACCTCTGGCCTCCAGAATTGTGAGAAAATAAATTTCTGTTGCTGATGTACTTTGTTACAGTAGCTCTAGCAAACTAATACAGAAAACCATCTCATTTAGTTAATATCTCAATTCAAAGTAATATTCTGAAGAAATATAGCTTCATTCCATCTAAAATTTGCTGTGTCAGGAATAAATCAACAAAAATATCCCTAAACTTTTTTAAATATATAGAAGTTTTAAAATTCTCTGATAGGACTGATCACACAGGTTCCAGAAAATAAAACTTAGGGCATAGTACCCACCCAATCTTAATACAGGAAACAGTGATCTACAGTTCTGAGACATGCCAACTCTTCTTTTAAAATAATTAAGAAGTACTTACTTCCTTCCTCGAAATAACGGAGATGTTGAGGTCTGTATTGGACTGACATTTCCATATGTCAACTGCTGTAAAGACACAGCTCTTGACAAGCTACCAAAAACAGATAAAAAACAGTAGTAGTAAACATTTTTACCTTAAAAACAAAAAACCAATTTCATAAGAACTAAATATATTTCACTGATCAAAAGAACACAAGACAATGACATTTTAACTTCAAATGTTTCATATAAAAAGGGTTTGTGTCAAGTAGAAAACAAAATTTATAAATGATATGGACCAAAGTATCACCATACTTACTCTGTATTCTGAAAGTTGAACTGTGCATCTATAAGCTGCTGGTGTGAATAAAGAGTTGGTGACAGGGCGAAGAAGTTATTATGTTGTTGATGGTTTGGGGTGAAAGGCGGGCGACCCAAAATTGAGTTTGGGAACATGCTCTTGTTCACTAAAAGTGAACATGTATTCTTCTACCTAGAATAGTTTTAAAAAACAAATTATTATATCTTAAAAATATTGAACCCTAACTAGTATCTACTATTTAAAGCAATTAGTTACCAAGTTATGAATTTCATTTGCAAAGTTATTTCAAAAGCTTAAACAGATTTCTAAGTCCCACTACAGGTAACAAAAAACTTGCTAATAATGAATTTTTTTTAACTTTACTTTTTTTATTTTTTGCTAATAATGAATTTTAAATCTAAAAATATTATTCAAATGATAGTAAAATATATGCAAGTTTCTAATTTCTGATGAATTTACCCTAATATCAACACATCTTTCAGAAATCAAGTTATCACCATATACTCTGATAAAACAGAAACCACCCAATACAGACATTTAATGAAGCCATACAGACTCTTATGTTTATACCCAATCTAATTTATTCAAAGGTGTAAGCCATAATATGACAACCCGATTCCTAGGATATAGATCTTACAGATCTTCTTAGAGATCTGCTCAAACAAGGGAAGGAATCTGTACTGCCTAATAACTCTAAAATTCTGAGATTCACTTCAAAGTCTAAATAACTTATATAAAGGATGTCCAGTAAAAGAGCTTGTTCCACGGCAATGGGGAAAATTTATACACAGTAGTCCCCCCCTTATCCACAATTTCATTTTCTGTGGTTTCAGTTATCTGTGGTCAACTGCAGCCCAGAAGCAGATGATCCTCCTTCTGACATATCATCAGGTCAATAGTAGCCTAACAATATGTCACATACACACATCATTCACCTCACTTCATCTCATCATTTTATCACCTATATCATCATCACAAGAAAGGTGAATACAGTATAAGACATTCTGAGAGACAACATTCATAAAACCTTTATTACAGTAGATTATTGTTTCTATTTTCTTATTAGTTGTGCTTAATTTATAAATTAAACTTTATCATAGGTTGTATATATAGGAAAAAAAACAGTGTGTGTGTATATATATATGTGTGTGTATATATATACACACACATATATATATAGGGTTCGGTAGTACCCAGTTTTAGCCATCCCCTGGGGGTCTTGGACTATCTCCTCTGAGGATGGGGGGGGGGCTACTGTACAAAGCAATCAGAACCATTCACTGACCCAGGCAAGAGACTAGATATTTATACTTTGCAATGACTGATCCCAAAAGGCTGTAAACTTACAAAGAATAGGTTAAGGTAACAAACTGAAAACAAGTATTAAGTAAAATCAACAAAGTGAAAATAGGATCCCCAGCCCATCTCCCATGAGTCAATAAGAAAACTCAGGGCGCCTGGGTGGCTCAGTTGGTTCGGCAACTGCCTTCAGTTCGGGTCATGATCCTGGAGTCCTGGGATCGAGTCCCGCATCGGGCTCCCTGCTCAGCGGGGAGTGTGCTTCTCCCTCTGACCCTCCCCCCTCTCATGTGCTCTCTCTCTCTCTCTCATTCTCGCTTTCTCAAATAAATAAATAAATAAAATCTAAAAAAAAAAATAAGAAAACTCATCTACAGAATAACTGAGAAAGAAACTATATAATATGGTAACCAAAGAACCTATAATATAGTAACAGTTTTCCACCAAGGAGAAGTTAAGCTTGCTAGCAAACTACAGTGAAGCCTACTACTGAGTTGCCCACCCATACAAACAGAGCTTGCTTTTTGTGATTAGATTTCTAGTACCTCTCATGTAAAATAAACATCCACAGATCACTGTCAGAAAAAAAGATCAAGGAATAAACAAAAACAATGCCAAGAACAAATTAAAAGTGAAAAAAAAATTAATTTAAAAAACTGCATACATAAAACAAGAATATGCTGTTTTCAGGGCACCTGGGTGGCTCAGTCAGTTGAGCATCCAACTCTTGATTTCAGCTCAGGTTGTGATCACAGGGTCCTGAGATCAAGCCCTGCCATCAGCCTCCCCACTCAGCACAGAGTCTGCTTCTCTCTTCCTCTGCCCCTCCCCCTGCTCACACATTCCTCTCTCTCTCTCTCCAATAAGTAAATAAATCTTAAAAAAAAAAAGAATATACTTAAAAGCAAAAAAGGCTCTTGGAAATTACAAAATTGAAAGCAGAAATACTGAGTAAAAACTTAAAAGGTAACACTGAGGAAATCTCTTAGAAGAAAAAGGAAAAATGGGTGAGGGTAGAAAGGAGGCAGGACAGTAAGAGAAAAAATAAAAGAGAATCAAATTATATGGTCCAACATGCAACATAACAGAAGTTCCTGTAGAAGAGAGAAAACACAGAGAAGGAAATTATCAAATAAATAACACAAGAAAATGTCCAGGACTGAAGAAAACCAATCCTGAGAATTAAAGGACCTAATGAGTACAAAGTCCATTAAAAATATATATATGCATCAAGGTATGGTCAATTTCGGAATATCAGGAAAAAGAGGCTTATGAAATATTACAGAAGAGGAAAATGTTATAAAAGGGCTGACAATCAAAATGTCTTTAAACTCCCTAATAGCAACAGAGGAAACCATAAGACAATGAAGTCAGTGCCTTCAAGTCTCTGAAGGAAATGCTCTCAAGCAGTAATTCCATACCCAGGTATAATATCAAGGCAAGGTAGAATAAAAACATGTTCAGACATGTAAGGTATCAAAAAACAAAACAAAACCTGGGATCTAGGAAAAGGGAGATCTGCTGTAGGGCAGAGACAAAGTAAATACCCTAGGATGATGGTGAAGGGAAGCTACCAGCTTAAATTAGAGCCAAGAAGATAAAGTGTTTCAAGAAGATAGCCAAGGAGAAAAAAACTTAAAACTTTACTGAAAGATTTCCTGATGTATCTGACCACCGAGAGGAGTTCTGCTAACAGAGCAGAAATAATCATAGAAACAGAAAAGTAGCAGGTTAAAAAGAAATTACTAAACAAACAAACAAAACTCAAAAAGTCATATAAAAAAGAAAATATAATCATTACCTATTTGGTTCTCACAATAACACAAACATTAAAAATACTAGTTTAAACAAAAATTATAATAAATTTATTATATATCATTTATTACATATTATATTTAAGGATTACATACACATTATATACAGTTACATGTTCATATACATCACAATTTAATGATAAGAAAGGGTACATAAAGGTGCTAAGTCCTCATTTTCAGCAGATGTCAATTTTAAAAACTGGCTATAGAAATTTTTTAAGCTTTTTTTTTTTTTTTTTAGAACAGAGGAAAATAACACTTAAACAGCTTAAAAAAATGTAACTGCCTCTGGGTATTGAGACCAGATGGTTAGAAAAATTGGAGCAGGAGAAAATAGGAGAGAAAAAGACAAAGATCTGGGAAGAAACTAATAAATCACTCATACAAATTTTGTTGTTTTTTTTTTTCAATTTTGTAAAATTTAAATTCCCGAGGCTGGCCACAGATAATGAGATTCACCAGTCTAGGCTTCAAAATGGATTGTGAACAAGAATCTTGGGCCACCATCAGATCTCATCCCAAGTGCCCAACTCCCTAATGTGAATGAGAGACAAGGTGTTACCTTCAGAAAACAAGAATTTACCAACTCTTTTCAAAGGTCTATACCTCTTACTATAGGAGATTTAAAAAAAAAAAAAATCAATCCTATCATAATTGCTAAGCTGTACTGATTTTCACTGCTCAGAGGAAATGGAAATTATCTTGAACCAAGCAGGATTCCAGACAATCCTTTATTAAAAGTACACTCAATCACAGAAAGCAAGATTAAAGACAAGCAACTAAAGACTTGCTCTACCTTTTGCCCAGGTTCATGCTCTTTTCTTTCTTGGCCTTCTTTATTCTGCTTCCCTGTCCCAAACTCCCATAAACATAATTCCTATCATAAGATTCATGAGAAAATGACATTAAATATAATTCATCATAATGAATTTTTCTTGGTATTTCATTTTGTTGGAATACAGATACTATAGATCCGATCAAACAAGGGAAGGAATTTATATTCAGAAAAGCTAAAATTAAAATGTCCTATTTTCAGATTTATTGAAATCAGTTCATAGTTAAAATTCGAGACCCTTTGTTTACATCTATAAATTATATGCTTGTGTTTTTCCTCTGGACCCAAATAAAGTCCCATACACATGCACTCAGACTTGAAGACCCCAAACGATATGACAGCCCAGACTTCACCTTATTTCTATCCCAAGACATGTTAAGATCCAAACTAGGAGTAAGTCAAAAGGTGTCTTGTGGCCCAGTAGTACTCAACAAAGCTAATGACCAAATTATCCAAGGCTTAAGAGCTTACAATGATTACTTAGCCAAGTTTACCTTAGGGCAGGTATCTAGTTCAGCCTATCCCAAATTCCCAGATAAGCATCGAAGCTTTTGCAGGCCCTCCACAATAAAGTATCTGTCAGGTTCTCCTCATTATGAATCTTGGCCCTCAAGTCTAGCTCTTAACTAGGCCAGCCCTCACAGTAAGATCATTCCTATGGGAATGGCATTCAGTGCCCCACAACATAGGCATCCTGCATGACGATGAGGAAGTAAAACAAAAGTCTATGAATTTCAGTTCTTCCTTCTAATATTTTTTCTAATACCTTTCAACAGTGATATTGATGAAGATAAGAATAATCTAAAATAATCCAAAAAAAGAAAGAATCCAAAAATAATAATCTATCATAAACAATACAAGGGATCATCTTTTAAACAGAATATAGAGTTCTATTTTTTTTTTTTTTAAGATTTTATTTATTTATCTGAGAGAGAGAGAGCACAAGCAGGGGGGAGCAGCAGAGGCAGAGGGAGAAGCAGGCAAGCAAGGAGCCCGATGCGAGACTCGATCCCAGGACCCCGGAATCATGACCCCAGCCAAAGGCAGACACTTAACTGACTGAGCCACCCAGGCGTCCCCAGAATATAGAGTTTTAGAGTATAAAATCCAGCAAACCTATTACCACTGCAGCATTAAGGAGACATCTATCAAATTTTAAATATTTTTCTTTATATTCCGAATGAAAGGCTTCTTCACTAAGTCTACTGGATGATCTACATAAAACACTATTCCACATTAACTGTGGTAGCAGGTATAAGAATTGCATGATAAATAAATACAATCCAGATATTGGTGATATCCCGTTTTTCTTAGCTTGAAAGTTACCGGTTTCTCAATATGTACATGACTATAAAATAGGATAATCTAGGAATTTTTGGTGTGTTTTAAAACTGTTGCATTGATTCTTGTCAGGAAAAAATCTTAAAAGTTGCTTCTTGACTAAGGTTGACACAATGGGATATTATACAGGTTTATTTGTAAATAATCATACATAAAAGACAAAGCTGTATTAAGGGTAGTTTGCAAAGTAATTCCTACTGATACAGTATTTGCTCCTGTAACTCACAACCTGGAATTTTCTGTCCTAAACCTGATCTCTCCTCCAACCAATTAAGAGAACTTTCAAGATTATATAATTCCTTCAACAGGATTTCCTGGAAAGCAGAATCTCCCTAGGATAAAAGCCAAAAGACAGAACTGTGGCAACTAAATCAAGTTATCTGTCCACTTTGTCCAAATGTCTTTGATATCCTAAACTCACTTCTTTTCTCCACCATCCAAAAAGCCCAATTCCTAAATCCTGCTCATCCACTGTCAAAACTACCTGAAGGTTTTGAAAAGGACATTCCTTTTTATTAAGAATTAGATTCCATCCAAGAGTTAAAAAATAATGTCATGTGGTTTGAAAGGGACATTTCTTAAATGATTGATAAATAGCCTGTTTCACATAAAGTCTATATTATGGAGCATTTCCAGATTAGACATAACTGGGGCTAACATACCAACAAAATAATATTACCATTATTGGCTAGCTACTATGAGCCTTTTGGCTGTACATATTAAAAACCTGTAGTAAAACACCATACAAGACAGTATTTACAAAAATAGTATGTTACCGGTAATACAAACACAGATTTAGTGTTCAGTTATGATCTTTCCTCACAAAATCACATACCACATATCTGTTAACAAGTTCCGATTTAGCTTGAGTTTTAGTTTCTCTTTGTTTCCTACTGGTATCCGCAATCTAAATAAAGAACTACTATTTTAAACAAAGAGCTAAAAGAGAGAAAACAAGACGGGGTATTTGGATATTCCAGATATTATGAGACACATAAACCCCATCGTGTTCTGGCCTAAAGAGACAAGGAGTCTAACTACAAAGGCTTAACGGGAAGAAAAGGGTACAACAATCTGACACAGTCCTGAACTGTGCACTTTACTGTAAAATGAAGAACTGAAGCCCATTTAATACAAAGTCTTAAATTTTAAATTATTAATCCAGATATTTACCTTAGTTTTTCACCACCCTTTGAAACACCATGCAGGGGTCCCAAGACAGTCTTCCTCTTATGGCCCTAGACTGAGAACCGGGTGCGAGGAAGGGAAACGAGTGGAAAAAGTAACTGGTCCTAAGATTCTTCAAAAAGTGCTGCAGCCTGGGGGCCGCCCATAAGTCTGGGACGTCTAAGAAATATTGCCGGAACTTCCCACGCAAACATAACAGTGAGGTTTCGGGAAAAGTTCCCCGAGCCCCGCCCCCGACCTGGGCCTACACGGTTGCGTCCTTTTCCGAAACCCCCCTAACTCACAGGTGTCCTTGGGGAAGGGCTAAGCAGGGCCTACCGGCACTGCTCGCCCAGGAGCTCCAAGGCCCGAGCAGCGAGAGTCCGGCGTGCACGGTTGTAGCTTTCGCCCCAGCCAAAGCAGGTAGTGGCCTGCGGAAGGGCTAGGCCTGGCTCCGGATCCCGCTTGCAATCTAAACCCCGGGCTCGGCGGCCGGGGAGGAGCGACACAAGAAAAGACAGGGCTAGCAAGCGTGCGGAAGGCTCGGGGCGGTAGCAAGAAGCGGAAGACCAAAAATTCGCCGAAAAAACGGCGTAGAAAACCCTGTCAGGAACACCCGGAAGACCTCCACGACCCCGGATGGGAAGAGCGAGCAGGGAGCGAGAGGTCACACTTCCGGCAGCCGCCTCGCCCCCTCCAGCGAGCACTTTGCTTGAGTGCGCAGGCGCACACTGCTGCAGTCCCGGTTTGGCCGGAGGTGGACGCGTAGCGCCAGTGAGCGCGAGTGGGGAAAGAGATGGGACACCTCTGAGACAGGGAGGACTAGGCGTTCGGCAGAGGCCCGGTCGCGGAGGGCTCCTCTGGGCTACCTACCACCTGATATGACGCACAGCGGCTCTTTTTCTGATACCCATATTTTAACGGCTTTTTCTTGTCTCCGCTGAATGACTCCTCCCCAGAGAAGCTTTCTCTGACCCAGTTTTCCCTCGCTCCTCAGCACCGGATCTGTATTAAGCTTTGTTTTTGTTTTTTTTTTACTCCTCCAGTAAATGAAAGCCGCTTGGGATTGAAAATGCCTTATTTGTCTCTGTGTGAAGCCTGGACTCAGCACCCTGCTTTTAATAATATCTTAACATTCCCGAATTCAACAAATATTTAATATTTGTTCTGTAGTGAGCTTTAATGGTTATGAAAATATCTTAAGTTGTTGGGATTTGTTAATGTCAATCTTTTAACAGTATTATTTTCCTTTTAATACCTACAGAAGAATTTCTCATTTCTGAAATTGGTAATTTGTGTCATCTTTATTTTTTCCTGATCATTCTGGCAAGAGACTTATCAACTTTACTGATCTCAAATCCCTCAAAGCACTCTTGCTTTCATAGGTTTTCTTTATTGTTTTTGTTTCCTATTTCATTGATTTCTGCTCAGGTTTATTTCCTCTCTTCTACTTTTTTTTCCTTAATTTTCAAATTTTTTCATTATTTGCTAGTTTTTTAACTTAGAGACTGAGATCACTGATTATAGACGTTTCTTTTGTAATATAGGCATTGGGTGGGATGTGTTCCTCAGAGTATTTCTTTATGTCTTACACATTTTATTTTCTTAAAGATTTTTTATTTATTTGAGAGAGAGAGAGAAAGAGCGCGCGCGCATGAGGGGGGCAGGGTCAGAGGGAGAAGCAGACTCCCTGCTGAGCAGGAAGGAGCCTGAGGCGGGACTTCATCCTGGGACTCTGGGATCATGACCTGAGCCGAAGGCAGTCGCTTAACCAACTGAGCCACCCAGGCACCCCACCTCACACATTTTAATATGTTTTCATTTTCCTTCATTTCAAAATACTTTCTAATTTCACCAGAGATTTTTTTTTTTTGAGCCATGGGTTATTAGTGTGTTACCTAGTCTACAAAAATTGAATTTTCCAGACATCTTCCTGTCGCTGATTTTTAATTTAATTCCATTGTAATCAGATAATCAGATAACATACTTTGCATAATTTGAATCATTTTCAATTTATTGAGACTTATTCTGTGACCCAGAATATGGTCTATCTTGATAAATATTCAGTATGCGTTTAAGATGAATGTGTATTCGACAGTTGTTGGGTGAAATGTTCTATAAACATCAATCACATCAAGTTTGTTGATATTGTCCAAATCTTCTAAATCCTGGGGGACTTAAAATATACTGATTTTCTGTCTACTTATCCTATTATTAAGAGAGAAGTATTGAACTAACTGTAATTATGGATTCTTCTAATTCTGCTTGTTCTATCAGTTTTGCTTCATGTATTTTGAACTCTGCTGTTACTTGCATAAACTTTCTTGCATTTATAATTTTTGTTATTTAGATGAATTTATCCATAATGAAACTGACTATGAAAAGTATTTTATCATTATGAAATGATCCATTTTATAAATGATCCACTTTATAAAACCTCTTTTCTCTTGGTAATACTTTTTGCTCTAAAGTGTACTTTGAAAAAAAATAAAGTGCACTTTGTCTGATGGCAATATAGCCACTCAGCTTTCTTGTTTGTAGTGTTGACAAGATATATATATGTATTTTTTTTTTTAAGATTATTTGAGAGAGAGAGCGTCCACACGCATGCATGGGAGCAGAGGGAGGGGCAGAGGAAGAGGGAGAGAATCACAAGCCAACTTCACGCTGAGCATGGAACAAACCTGGCGCTGGATCTCATGACCCTGAGATCATGACAGCCAAACCAAGAATCACACGCTTAACTAACTGAGCCATCCTGGTGCCCCATATATTTGTGTTTTCTTAAATTTATCTCAGCATATTATTTTCAGTGTACAACTTGAATATCTTTTATCAAAGTTATCCTGATCTATTTCATATTTTTGATGCTATTTTAAATGGTATTTTAAATTTCAATTTCAGACTGTGCATTGTTAGTAGAAGACAAATACAACTGACTTCTGTATATTGATTTTTCTATCCTGTAGTCTTGATGATGGTCTTGAGTCCGCTTGGAGGGGAGTCTGCTTGAGGATTCGTCCCTCTGCCCCTCCCCCACTCGTAAATGTGCAAGCACTCTCTAAAATAAATAAATCTTTTTTTTTTTTAAGATTTTTTTATTTATTCCTTTGAGACACAGAGATACAGAGAGAGAGCGAGAGAGCATGAGCAGGGAGAGAGGCAGAGGGAGAGGGAGAAGCAGGCCTCCTGCTGAGCCAGGAGCCTGATATGGGGCTCGATCCCAGGACCCTGGGATCATGACCTGAGCCGAAGGCAGCCGCTTAACCGACCGAGCCACCCAGGTGCTCCGAAAATAAATAAATCTTTAAAAAAAAAAGACACAGGGGCGCCTGGGTGGCTCAGTCGTTGAGCATCTGCCTTCGGCTCAGGTCATGATCCCATAGTCCTGGGATCGAGCCCCGTGTCGGGCTCCCTGCTCCACAGGCAAGCCTGCTTCTCCCTCTCCCACTCCCTCTGCTTGTGTTCCCTCTCTCGCTGTGTCTCTCTCTGTCAAATAAATAAATAAAATCTTAAAAAATAATAAAAATAAAAAAGACACAAACAGAAAATATACCATGTTCATAGTTCAGAAGACTCAAAACTGTAAAAATGTCAATTCTCCCACAAATTAATCTGTAGATTCAAAACAATCCCAGTCCAAAATCCCAGCAGGCTTTTTTTTTTAGTAATTGACAAAAGGATTCTAAAATTTATATGGAGACGCAAAGGACCTAGAACAACCAAAATAACTTTGAGACTGAAGAACAAACTTGAAGAAATTACACTACACTACCTGATTTCAATATTTGCTATAAAGCCACATTAAGCCAGGTAGTATAGTATTGGTGTAAAGAGAGAAAAAAAGATTGACAAAACTGAATAGAGAGTTTTTTAAAAGTGCCAAGGTTGTTCATTTCAACAAAGGACAAAGGCAATTCAGTGGAAAAAGGAAAGATTTTTCACTAATAATGCTGAAACATTTGGGTATTCATAGACATGAATGAATGAATGAATGAAAACACAAAATGGATCATAGATCTAAACATAAAACTTAAAACTTCTAGAAGAAAATGAAAAAATATCTGTGACCTTAGGCTAGACCAAAATTTCTTGGGTCTGATACCTAAAGCACTATCCTTAAAAGAAAAAAGTAATAAATTGAACTTAATCAAAATTAAGTATTTCTTTTCAGGTAACTAAGAAAATGAAAAGAACAGCCAAAAACTGAAGAAAGTATTTGCAAATCACATATCTAATAAAGAACTTATATCCAGAAAATATACTTTTTAAATCTCTCATACCTCAATAAACAGAGAAAAACACACACACAAAATCAAAACCCAAAAACTCTCAAACCTCAACAGGAAGAAATTAAACAACCCAGTAGACAAATGGGCATAAAGTTTGAATAGACACTTCACCAAAGTCATATGAATGGAAAATAAGCACATGAAAAGATACTCAACATTATGAGTCATTAGAGAAAATACAAATTAAAACCACAATGAAATATCACTACCTACCTACTTCATGGTAAAATTAAAAAGATTAGCCATACCAACTGTTGTTGAGAATGTGGAGTAATTGGAATTCTCATAACCATGGGATGCCTGGGTGGCTCAGTCTGTTAAGCATCTGCCTTCAGCTCAGGTCATGATCACAGTCTTGGGGTTGAGTTCCACATCGAAGCCTGCTTCTCCCTCTGCCTGCCGCTCCCCCTGCTTGTGCAAACACGCTTGCTCTCTCTCTCTCTCTGGCAAATAAATAAATAAAATCTTAAAAAAATTTTTTTAAAGATTTTATTTATTTATTTGAGCGAGAGAGAATGAGAGACAGAGCATGAGAGGGAAGAGGGTCTGAGGGAGAAGCAGACCCCCCACTGAGCAGGGAGCCTGATGTGGGACTCGATCCTGGGACTCCAGGATCATGACCTGAGCCGAAGGCAGTCGCTTAACCAACTGAGCCACCCAGGTGCCCCAAAAATAATAATTTTTTTTTAAAAAGGAACTCCCATAACCACTGATGGGAATGTGAAATGGTAAACCTCTTTGGAAAATGCTTTGGCAATTTCTTAAAAAGTTAAACATATATTTACATGTGACCCAGACATTACACTCCTAGGTACTTATCCAAAAGAAATGAAAGCATAGGGGTACCTGGGTGGCTCAGTTGGTGAAGTCTTCAGCTCAGGTCATGATCCCAGGGTCCTGGAATAGAGCCCCACATCTGGGCTCCCTGCTCAGTGGGGAGTCTGCTTCTCCCTCTCCTTCTGTCTGCTGCTCCCGTTGCCTGTGCTCTCTCTCTCTCTCTGTCAAATGAATAAATAAAAATTGTTAAAAAAAAATGAAAGCATATGTTTACCCAAAGACTTGTACACAAATGTTCATAGCAAATGTGTTCATAATAGGCAAAAACTGGAAACAAAAATGTCTGTCAACAGGGAAATGAATAAACAATTCACGATATATCCATACAATAGAATATTACTCAGAATAAAAAGAAATTAACTATTGATATAATGCAACATGGATTAATCTCAAAATAACTATGATCAGTGACAGAAATTGGGCAAAAAAATAGTACATACTATATGATCCCATTTATATGAAATTCTAGGGCATGAAAACTAATCTTTAGGGAGAAAAAAGAAGTCAGTGGTAGTCTGGAAAACAGAAATTGG